TTGACTCATGCATAACGCGAAACTTTGGCTTCTCGAGCTTGTTTAGGTTTTCCATTAACAACCTCCAAGCCTGTCCTCTTTCGGTTGACTTTGGCTTGAACATATACGGTTCTGTGACAAGAAGTTCCCTGACGAAGTATTGTTCGTGTTCTTTTTTCCAAATAAATAGCTCCTTATGTTCGTCCATCTTAAAGTCGTTCTCAGCAGTACGAGTTTCTGAAGAAATCTCGGCTTATACGAGCAGACAAAAACAAGTTTCAGAGGTTTTTCCCGCCAAAACGCGCAATGCTGATGTAACTCGTACTTAAACTCGTACTCGTTCTATTATCTAAACCTCCGTAATTTTTCATTCGAAGCGACCCAACACGTGACGTTGAAGCGACTATTAATTCAGTCTAATTGTTGCTATTGGATAACAACTTCATTATACAGAAACTACAATGCCGCGAAGTTATATAAATAACCATAACGTGAACAATAACCACGGGCAATAGGACAGATGTAGTGTTGTTAAATAGAAAGTCATTCTCGTACCCAGAGCCCTTCTTACGCGCGGTCAACGGAGCACGACGAGGGGCTCTGGCCAAATCCATAACCGGATACCATAAAAACATGGTATCCGGTTAAACACTGCGCATGCTCAACGTCAAACGCGGATAAACACTTCGGCTTTCTTGTTTGTTTCGTTTTGAAAGTTTTTCTCCAGGAAAACCCCACAAAAGCGGTAGGTTTCGCCAATTTTATTTATTTAAATCAATTAGTAGGTAAGACGTGATGTTCTCAATGCATGTTGATAAAAATTTAGTATATATTTCCCTCTTAAACGTTGCCAAAGCAGTAATGGCTACGGATACGAAGACGAGAGATTGTCTCACTATTTTATATTTTAAGTCGCTGTTGTATAGATTTTTAGACTTTGTGTTTTACTAAAATTCAACAGTCATACATAAGACATACTATACTGCAAATCATTTGAAAATTGTAAAAAATCGGTTTCTAGGAAGAAAATAGTCATCACAATTAACTTCATATTCTGGCTGGCTTTAATATTTTCTCTTCAGATGGCACTTCAGCTTTGAACAGGTAACACAGATTTGTTTGATTAACATCACTGATTTGGAAATACGACGAGCATCTGCCATAAATATGCTGACTTTTTGCTATGAGAACATCACGTCTCAACCTATTAATTTCAATCAACTAATTGATTTTAAATAAATAAAATTAGCGACATCTATCGCTTTTGTGGGCGATTATCAACAACAATCTTCCTAACTGCTTCGTAATGCTATTCTTTCAACTTTAATAATGTCTTTTCTCCCAATTTTCAAAGGGAAACCAACGCTTCGTGGAGCGCCTGTGTATTTTTATTCATATCTACTATAATAAACCATATATTTCGTTGTGGCCAATCAGAAGCCAGTTTGATATGGATTTGGCCAGAGCCCCTCGTCGTGCTCCGTTGACCGCGCGTAAGAAGGGCTCTGGGTACGAGAATGATAGAAAGTGAGAAATGCATTCTCGTACCCAGAGCCCTTCTTACGCGCGTTCGACCGAGCCCGACGAGGGGCTCTGGCCAAATCCATATCAAACTGGCTTCTGATTGGCCACAACCAAATATATGGTTTATTATAGTAAACATGAATAAAAATACACAAGCGCTCCACGAAGCGTTGGTTTCCCTTTGAAAATTGGGAGAAAAGACATTATTAAAGTTGAAAGAACAGCAGTACGAAGCAGTTAGGAAGATTGTTGTTGATAATCGCCCACAAAAGCGGTAAATGTCGCTAATTTTATTTATTTAATTAAATCAATTAGTTGATTGAAATTAATAGGTTGAGACGTGATGTTCTCATAGCAAAAAGTCAGCATATTTATGGCAGATGCTCGTCGTATTTCCAAATCAGTGATGTTAATCAAACAAATCTGTGTTACATGTTCAAAGCTGAAGTGCCATCTGAATAGAAAATATTAAAGCCAGCCAGAATATGAAGTTAATTGTGATGACTATTTTCTTCCTAGAAACCGATTCTTTACAATTTTCAAATGATTTGCAGTATAGTACGTCTCATGTATGACTGTTGACTTTTAATAAAACACAAAAAAGTCTAAAAATCTGTACAACAGCGACTTAAAATCGAATATAAAATAGTGAGACAATCTCTCGTGAGTCTCGTCTTCGTATCCGTAGCCATTTATACTGCTTTGGCAACGTTTAAGAGGGAAATATATACTAAATTTTTATCAACATGCATTGAGAACACATCACGTCTTACCTACTAATTGATTTAAATAAATAAAATTAGCGAAACCTACCGCTTTTGTGGGGTTTTCCTGGAGAAAAACTTTCAAAACGAAACAAACAAGAAAGCCGAAGTGTTTATCCGCGTTTGACGTTGAGCATGCGCAGTGTTTAACCGGATACCATGTTTTTATGGTATCCGGTTATGGATTTGGTCAGAGCCCCTCGTCGGGCTCGGTCGAACGCGCGTAAGAAGGGCTCTGGGTACGAGAATGGTGAGAAATGGTATTATACTTACTCATCAACCTCGTACCCAGGGCTTCTGCGCTTATTGCTCTCAGAAGCCCTGGGATAATCCAACTCAGAACGTGATTTGATTGGTCAATGCGAATACAATGAAAGTACCGGAAGTTATTCATTAACCGGGTGATATTTTGGCAACATGTCTGCTATCACAAGGAGTGTATACAAAAGTTAAATGCTGGTTTTTGCATAAAATACTTTTTTGAACCAAATTCTGGACTATTTTGAAAAGAGCAAAAGAAGAAATGGACTATTTATATTTGTAAATAAGCAAGAATGGCGAACAAAGTAAAAAATTTAATTAACATAATAAAGCGAAACATTTATCGTTCGAAAATTGAAATTTCAAGTATAAATCTACAACTTCTGTGAACTTCAACCACGATATTCAATGTAAATATTACATAATAAAGTTTTTAATACCTTTTTTACCTTTATTTGATAAATTGTGTGTTCTATATTTATTGCATTTTGTATTGGAATAGGATAAATTATGAATTATACACAAATATTTAAATTTACAAATTATTCCCAATTTGAGGATGCTGGGTGCACTGGCTCAGAGTTTGTATTAGGTCACATAAAAAAATAATAGTTGGTTAGCGTCCCCGCCCTCCCACAAAAAAGGCCCCGCTCAGGATTTTTTTTTATTTTATATTTATAAAAAAACAACTTTTATTGATCAACGGGCTCTAATGTATGTAGTATTTCTGTTGACTGTAGTCAATTGTGTTAATAATTTGCGAAATTGCGTGCGAAAATGACGGTATGAATCATATTTTGAAATATATAAAAAAATATCTGTACTGCGCAAGAAAATCCAGTTTCGGACCTAACCGTGAGTAAAACCAAGGCGTTAAAAATTAGTAAAAATTAAAAAAAAAGCGCCCGCCCGCTCACTTTTTGGCAAAAGCTAAGGACGCTAACCAACTATTTTTTTTATGTGGCCTTAGTGCCATTTTATTATTGAGTTATTAGTGCCTCTAAGTCTCTAATGTACAAACATTGTAATCTGTTACTTAATACCATAAAGAAACTGTTGATAGCGCATATATTAAATGACTATTAATCAAAATGAACTAAATTTTCGACCATTATATAGCATATTTCCCCCAATATTGAGGGAATAATTTCTCATATTTATTTTTATAATAAGCCAATATTGCCCAACTGTGAAGTAAATATTGCCCGACTGGCCTAGTCTGCCCAACAATTGAGCCCAGTCCTGTATGCCTATGACCAGGCCTACAGGTGGATCCCCAACCTGATTGGTCACAATTTTTCTTTCTCCAAAATTTCCTCTCCCCATGTACAAGGATTGACAATTTGACAGTTTGATTAGATTTGAAAAGAAAAAAAAACACAGTTATATCGGGGTCATTCCAGAAAACACCCATACCACTCCCACAGAGGAAATTAAAAGTTAATCCCTTCTACCCCTTTGAATGTCCTAATACATTTACTATTATCAGAAACAATTTTCCCCCTCCCTCTCTGAACGGCAGAAATTTCCTCTGGGGGGGGGGGAGTGTGGATATTTTCTGGAACGACCTATTTAAGAAATACTTTTGCACAAATTTTAAATTTTCTTACAATTTTCTTGTATGTCAGAACACTGTTCTAAGTTGCAACTAAAATTCAGAGGTCTAAAAGGCTCAAGTCAATTCCAGTGGTGTAACCAGAGGGGGTGGGGGGTCAAAATATTTTAAATGTTCTGAACTTGTTTATAATTAATTAGAGTTGAACATGTGTTAACTTCAAGGTTATTTCAAATCACCAAAACACATTAAAATAGCCCCCCAAAATGGCACTTTATTAACTAGAATTTAAAAAGTCTACATTGTACAATATTATACATGGATAGCTTGGGAGTCCAAATATATTTTTACATACTAACAAACTTTATTCAAACTAGTGCAGGCCCCTCCTGGGGATTTCAGTCCCCTTGAAGGCCTTAATTAGAAATTCTGGCTACATCACTGCTCAATTCCATTGCCAATGATGGTGTTAGCATGATTAGACAGAGTAGGTTAACAAACTAGTGTGTATTATGAGATAATCCATTGAACACCAATGATCTATCTTAACATATGAAATCATCTGGTGCAGTGGTGGATCCAGCAAAGTTTTTTGGGGGGGTGCTAACCAATGGCGAAATGAGCGCCTTCGGGCGCAAGATTTCTAGGGTGGTCCGGGGGCATAATACCACAGAAAATTTTTAAAATTTGGGTCTCTGAAATGGCATTTCCAGCATTCTGAGAAAACATTCTGGAAAATGTTTAGATTCTCAAAACATTTAAAAATTCAGAATATTTAATATTGGCTATTCCACTATTGTCAACTAGTGATACGCAACTGAATTCCTTAACATAAGTTGGTTAGAATTAGGATAAACGTCATTTTTGCACCCCCCCCCCCATGCATCCCTGTTGACTAGAGCCTGGGGGGGTGCACACCAGAGTAAAATAAAAAGTAAGACACAATATATAACTTAATAGGTAAGGTTAATGCCAGAATTAAATGATAAACAATATTTTATAATAAACCCAAATTAGTTCAGCACCATTGGTTCTTATAACACTGTTCATTCCAATACTAGAACATCAGCAATTAACAAAAGTTGGAGTTTCATCCGATATGACATGTATGCTTCTAACCATGCTGTCCATGCAGCTATCTGACAGTTTTTAATTTTCAACATTGATTCCCAAAGCCATTATTCTCAAGATTTGCCAAAAAGGTTTCCCAAATATTAAAGTACAGA